GATAACAGTAATATTCCATTTAATTTCGTCCTATTTTTCTTTCAGAGGTTCTACGATTGATATTTTGGGTCTCATCCTTTTTCACTTCTGTGATTTTTCCATGGGTTACCTTATATTTTGGGATTTATGACCCTTGAGACCCAGTAAATATTTTCAGTCATCCTAATACCTTAAATTCATATACACAGAGTCTCCAGTGTGCCTTAGTGTGTATTAACTTTATTCAATGATCGGAGTCATCACATGCTGACTTTGAATAAATATTTAGAAATCTACACTTAATGTGACTAACATACAGTGCATCCAGCCAGCCAGATCCATTTATCTAGACATTGCTTGTACCTTATTCATGAGGAAGTTGATTTCCTTTACTAACTATGGAGACTGTGTTTTAGTCCAGGTACAATAGGCCAAAGAGACTTCTCCAACTCCTCCAATATAATTATTTCCTGCCACCAACTCACTGAAGTGGCACACCCGTTCACTAGATGAGAATGCATTCCAACAGCCAGCAAAGTGGATTCTTCTTGGCTTTCATTTTATATGCCTAAAGAAAACCCCTTGCAGAGGAACAGGAAGTCTGTGAAAGCATCATAGGGAATCTCAACTGAATACTCTCGTTTTCTTTCTATACATTTATAAAGAGTCAGAGACTATAAGGAAATGTTGCCATCATTCCTATCTCCTTCTGAGGCATAGAAAATAGCTGTGGCTCTTGATTTAATATTACACATGCAACATTTCTCTTTACAGACTTATGATATGTTAGTTCAACTAGTTTAAAAGATTTGATTAGGAGAAGCTTCTCCATTTGTACCCCACCCTTAATTTTTTCCTTATCTGGCTGCATGTCATATGATGAGAACTACCAGAATTGTGAGAAACCAAAGGCTTCCAGGCACCCATTAGGAGAAGGATGAGAAGTTTTATTCAAAGCATATGGGTGTTGGGATTAACCAAATCTAAGAACCAGAGAATTTACTGTGCATGGTTCAGGGATGCCATTACTCTCTAAATACCTCTTGCTAGAATGCAAATGAATTAGATCAATCCAGAAATGCTGTTCTTGATACAAAAAGTAAAGACCTACGTCGACAAGATCATGCTAAATAAAGGAAAGCTAAGTAGTGTTTTTGTTAAATATCTACAAATAAGTTAAATATTGTCCTGATGCTCATGTGTAAGTGTTATTATAAATTGCTTAACTGACATCTCAATTATGGCATTCCTTGGAAATGATTCTCATTTGTACAAAGTCAGTTATATTTCACAACCCAACATAAAACCTCTATGAAATAAAGCTTTTTTTCTTTTTCAACTGTAAACGCTTTGTATCTCTAAGCACAACTTCTTTTGTTTATGTCCGTTCAGTTGAAGGGAAGGGGTGAGGCCTCTCAGGAAAGTGAAACCCATAGTGACTTCTGTTCCTGACTCCTTCCTTATGAGCCATTTTCTCTTTATCAACCTCAGGGGCTCCTTCTAACTTTCCTACCCATGTTTTTCATTATGAAAAAAGCCTTTAAGTGAATTCATTCTATAAATATTTATATATACCAAGCACTCTTCCAAGCACTGGGAAATAACACTGAACAAACAGATAAAAATCCCTCCTCTCATGGGGTGTGTATCTTAGAGCCCATGAGAGGGTGGTGGCACAAAATCTAACACATACGTTCAGATGAATATCAAGGGCAAACTCAATACGTATTTTTAGTTGTTTTGTTCTTTTTGTGGAATCCCATCAGGGCTTAAAACCACTTAACGTTACCCCTAATTCTAGTGTGAGGAGACAAATATTAAATAATATAAATAACTTAAATATTTGATAATAAGATGTTATATTCAAAACAAAAGTGTGATGGAGGGATGGTGTGTAGGAATGTTAAATTTTAAATTGAATGACCAGGTGAGACTTTACTGAGAAGATAGCATTCATCTAAAGACCTGAAGGATGCCAGTTAAGCAGTCATTTTGTTTTTTTTTTTTTTGCGGTACACGGGCCTCTCACTGTTGTGGCCTCTCCCGCTGCGGAGCACAGGCTCCGGACACGCAGGCCCAGCGGCCATGGCTCACGGGCCCAGCTGCTCCGTGGCATGTGGGATCCTCCCGGACCGGGGCACGAACCCGTGTCCCCTGCAGCGGTGGCAGGCGGACTCTCAACCACTGCGCCACCAGGGAAGCCCAACCAGTCATTTTAAATTTGAGTTTCTTACACTAAATTAACTGGGGAATTTTAATAAATTTCAGCACAGGTAGCCAGGTGAAAAAATATAATTAATTAAGTAATGAATTACTATTCTAATTTATTAATTAACTTGTTGGTAATTTATCAGACAGACCTCTGGAATCATCTCAGTTCATGACTACCCATGGGTGGTAAGGGGTAGGCCATGTTAAGGAAAGGAGAGAGCTCAGGGGGCCAGTTAAGAAGCTATCACAATCCAAATGAAAGAGAAAGAATCTGAATGAAGACACTGATATTTTTCCAAAATGACATTTTCCCAAAGTAATCCGGTTTCTGGCCTTTTTTGTGTTCTTTCATTGCTCCTTACTACCTTTAGAATAGTGCCCAAACCTCTTTGTTTGACATTGAAATCCTTTCAAAAATTGGCTGCTTACTGGTTTCTCTAATAGGTGTGTCTGTATTCCAATAAAACTTTATTTACAAAAATAGATTGTGGGCCAATGTTTACTGCAGTCAGCTGTTTGCCTACCCCTGGTCTACTTTATGGGACTTTCTCAGTCTTAGCACATGGCTTCCATTCTAAAAGTTATCTCACTAGTATCAGAAACTGCTGAATTCACAGCCAGTATGTCAACATTCCAGGTAAGAAGTTGGAGGAAGAGAAAAAAGATTAAAAGAGCACTTGCTAGCTCTTTCCTCAAATAGAACCTTCCTATATATCTCACCCAACATCCACTTACATCTCACTGGCCACTTCTTCGTGCAAAGAACCTGAGGAATATAGCTGTTTAGATGGATATATTTTCATTTAATAAAATTAGGGTTCTGTTACCAAGGAAAAAAGAAAGAATGGATATTGGGTGGGTTTCTAGCAGTCTCTGTCATATCTATCAGATTTTAATCACCCGGTGTCAGTTTCTTCATTTGTCAAAATGGAACACTATTAGCACCTCACAGAGTTGTTTGGTGAAGGTTGAATGATCCAACACAGGAATGCTGTTAGGAGAATGCCATGCATACTGTAAGCTCTCAGTAGAACTGACACATTTTTGGAATTAGCCCTATTTTCGTCTTTTGTGTGTTTTGATCTTTGTTGTATTTCCAGTGCCTAGAATGCTTTCTAGCACATAGGAGATCAATAAACACTTTTTTTTTGAATGAATAAATGAACCACCATTATCATCAGTTTAGATTTTTAGATAGCAGGCAACAGAAACTGATTCTGGCCCACTTAATCCCTTATTAAAATAATGGTACTTCTAGAAGTGACAAGATACCTGGAGAGTCAGACTCAGACAGGGACAGGTATCCTGTTATTGCTGTAATCATTTAGACCAGAGCTATTTTCACACTATGCTTGAATAACTCCACTCAACATTTAAAGCCCCTTGAAATGGAGTCTAATGATCAAAATGTGACGGAATCATCTGTCTCCCTTTGGATAGGAGAGAACGGAACACCATTTTTTATAGTCCCACCAAAATGGCATGTAACTGGGGAGAAGCAAAGAATTAGGATGAGATCCATGTGAAGGATGAAATCAGCAGGAAGAAACTGGGTGGAAAGCACAAAGAAATATCCATCACATGTTCTTATTCCTTTTAGTTTGTGTTGCTTCCACAAAGTCATGGTTGTGATGTAAGTGCATCCCCTGGGAAGAAAAAAGACCTAGCAATTTGGCCTCTGTTAATGCATCAGTATCTGCATTTTTTTCCATTTAAAAAGCCAACTACCACCTTGTAAAACTGATTGCAGGAACCCTGAAGAGATGAGACCAACAAGAGTTTTTTTGTTTTTTTTCCTTAAGGATAAGATGACAGAATATGACAGTGAGGTTGTGGGATTGATAGAGAACAGTAAATAGATATCGAAAAAAGGTTAGGCACTAATGCCAAATACAGGTACCATGCCTTTAGGTAATGACATCTATATGCATAATCCTTCCAGTCATTTAATTTCATAAATTATCTAAAAAATTGTTTCTAAATATTTTAGTTTCTATAATGATTACAGTGCCAGTCTGCTTTGTTACTGAGCAATTGATTACTGTCTCTGATAAAAAGTTGAAACCAGATGGTTTTTCATTTTGTTTGCCTTTTCAGATGTAGCAGTGAATGTAGGTCCATGACAACCTAGGGGTTTATTTTTAAGCATGATTCACAGTAGTTCCATCTACTATCATTATGAAAGTCTGTCAGACATTTGGAATTGCTTTAATTTGGTAAATTTTATTGAGATTTTTATAGATGGTAAAATTAAAATTATCGTTTTTTTTAATTGTTAGGGGAAAAAAACCCAATTTATATAACCTGCCCAAATTGATTTGCATAATTGCAAATATATGTGCTACCACTGATGACCATTCCAAACCATTGTTGGAAAGCTGGTAGACTAGCAGACTGTATATTTAGGGAACTTTAGAGCTTATTTAGCTTCATTTAATAATCTGGGTCTAAACATAACATTTGTTTAGATATTAAAAAATTGATAAGTTTAGATTGATAAAAATGACACCCTTCTTTGCTCTTGGAATGAGCAAAGTTTAAAAAACTGAACCGAAAAAAAGTCTCCTTGTATGAAACTAGACCTTATAAAATTTTCTTCACACTGTATTTTTAATCATATTTCTTCTATGATTTGGTGTTAGAAAATGTGTATAAAATGCCATTAGAGTGAGCAATTAAAGATTATTATGCAAAATGGAAGAACTGAAATATATTACTTAGGGATTAAAAATCTTTAACGTTCTATAGCTTGTCAATTTTTTCTTTGTTTAATGATACTAATCTTTCAATATTTCTTTTTCTTTCTGCAGTGCTTTAATACGTTATTGAAACTACAAACCCATATCCACAGTGGTCTCATTGTTGACAGACTTCATATTTTGAAAGCTTGAGGTATTTTATAATGAAACATGCCATGTGGAAACTTTGAAGCATAAATTCTGCCAAACATCTGAATAAAGGATTTCTCACCTGGTATGTAAGAGGTCTCCTCACCACCACCATGACAAACCAGGAAAAATGGGTCCATCTCAGCCCCTCAGAATTTTCCCAGCTTCAGAAATATGCTGAATGTAAGTATTCATATTGATAATATGATTTGACTTGGTATTTGCGCTAAACAACGTAATTATTTACTTACCAAAACAGATTATAAATCCCGTTCAGCATTGGGATAAATGCAGGTGTGTCTTTTGTGTTTCCAAGTAAGTGAACTTGAGACTACCAGTTTGGCATGAGAAAAAGGAAAAGGTAAACTTAAATCGAACATTAGATCTCAAAGAAAAAGAACTAGAACTTTAGATGCAAAAGTGAACTTGGAAACATTCCCGCTGTAATGGATGTGAAGCAAAGGATAAGATAGTTTGGGAGAATGGAGACTGGTGAGTCTGTAACCAAGAAGAAGGATAAGCAGAAGTAAGGGGAAAAGTGAGATTTTTTTTTTCCTGCATAACATTTCAAAAAGATTGGGAGTAGGGAGTCATAGATACATCATGGCATTGAAATTAGAGGTTGTAAAAGAAAGAGAAGGTGTAGGATCTTACACCACGTTGTTTAGTGTGTGTATTGATACAAAAGATAGGCCATGGTGATTCACTTTATAGTATGCAATTTTTAAATATGGTAAGCTTCTTTACACATAAACAGTAAAATTGTATTTATTTATTGTTTTTACCATGGATTTTCAAAAATACATCTGTTTCACAAATTGAGTTTCAACAATAAATATGGGTAGCAACTGTGTCAAGGTATTGAAGAGAGAAAATGAAGCAACTAATAAATAGGAGGGAGCAAAAGGCTGGGAGCACGATGAGTAGAGAAAAAATAATATGCAGGGAATGTAATAAGAATGGTGAGTGTTAGAGAATAAAATGCAAGAAATGGAAAGCAAAAAAAGAACCAATAGCACGCAATAGTGAAAGAGGCAAAAACTGGAACAGCTGGAGGTGCTTATGCAGAGAATTGGGTCATGTAGGAGAGAAGTGTCAGGAGTGAATTGAATCATATTATGAAGAGGCAGAGGAAAGGATTAAACTCAAATGGAGGATTGGAATAATAAGAAATAGATATGTGAGTGAATAATAACACATTTACGGGGTACATAGTATAAGTCAGGAACATTAATAAACAATGTATATCATCCGAAGAGGCCAATTTCATAGGTTTTCCAGACTTTTCCTAACTGGAGAGCTGAAGTGTTCTGGGTGAGGTTATCAGAGTGCTGGTGGGTATTTGTAAGGAAGATGCAAACCCATGTAACCTGTAAGTTTTCTCCATCAATAATGATAAAAATACAGCAACTATCAAATGGAGGGGAGAATCAGAAATTGTTGACATCAAAATGTGGTCCTTATACTGAAAAACTGTTTTGAGCCACTGAAAGCACAATTCATCTACTTATCACATGAAGACAATTTATCCCAGAATGGCTGAATTCTTGTCTGCATGTTTATACTCAGTGATTTCTAAACTGGCTAAAAAATGATTTACCTATGTTTTGTAATTACTATATGCTCTTTACTGTTGTGATATATCCAATAATTAAGTAAATATTTCTGAACATCTTCTTTAGGGAGAATATTCTGCTTGGCACTGTAGGAGATGCAAATATGAACAGATATGGACCCTCCCTTTTTGGAATTTACAGTTTAATGAAGGCTAGAAACTAATGGATAAACAATTCTAGGATAAACGATATCTAGGTGAAATATCTAAGTGCTACAAGCAAAGTTTAGGGATCTGTAGTGCAATAGTATGCAGCTAGAGATGGAAAAAGGGAAGGCTTCATGGAAGAAGTAGAATTTGAAATGAATCTTAAAAAATAGATTCATGGTAAATGCAGAAAAAATGATATAAATTAAAAGAAAAATTTAGCGTATATTTGAGGAAGTGGGATGAGCTACATTTAGCCACACTACAAATTAAGGGAGTAAGTGGAGGTAAGGCTATAAAAATGAGATCGAATTTAAATATACAACCCTCAACTTGAGTAAGGCAGTGAAGAGTAATTGTAGAATGTTAAGCGTAGGGCTACATGAACAATGCTATGCTCCAAGAAGCTTAATTTACAAATACAAAAATAGTATATGTGACAAAGAGACTGAAATTAGGCCAGTGGGCTACTGGAATAGACTAAAAAAAGGCGGATGGAGAATGATGACCAGAAAAGCATAGATTCAAATATTACATCATTAAAACTAGTGGAAGAGAACTTGGGCAATAATAAAATACGAGAATTGAGAGAGAGAGAGAGAGAGAGAGAGAGAGAGAGAGAGAGAGAGAGAGAGACAGGCAGAAAGAGACAGTTCTAAAATTTAGCTCTAAAAATTTGACTTGGAGGACAGGGGAATTTGGTGACATAATCTCCCAAGTAAAATAAACGTAATGGTTTGGTTTAGATTATGCTAAATTTAGCTGGATTATTAAAATATGTTTTCCAGTGTTCGGGTACTTACAGGAAACATGCCTGTGGAGGCACTAGTATAAAATAGATAAATTATTGCCATAATAGCTAAATTATTATTTATAATAGCTAAATTATTATTTACAATAACTTTTGCTTAGATAGTCAAATTGCATTTGAACTGATAAACAGAATTTAGTACTAAAGTATTAAATATATTGCAGGCTGCCACTCTTATTTTATTGGCTAAGGAATATGGAGGTACATTTAATTATATCATTAAAATGCTTGATTTAGTAATAGGTTTGCAGAAATACCTAAGACAAGTGGTAGAAAGAATTGTCATAAATGTAAAAGTTCTAACCTCTTGAGACAAAGATTAATGGGCATTCAATACGTTGGTAGTGAGTAGTGACACAGTGAGTATAAGAACATGGTTAAAATGGATCTTATGAGAAGACATTTTAACTGTGAAGGAAATAAATAGTGCTGATTCCATGATCATTAGACTTGCTACTCTTTTTTAAATAACCAAGACAACAATGAAGAGTGTTAGACCGAATCCTCTAAGAAGTTTCCTGTATAATTAAATAGCAAAGAATATTATGATTAGGTGGATCTTTGTGTATTAAATTGCCATTGTCAAAACATAACAGAAAACAAACTTATTATCCTGAAGATTATAAAAGTGGTATATTTTCCATGCTATTCAGTACATGTGATCAGTTTATCAGCAGCATTTAAGGACCAGATTTTTCATGTTGCAATGCAGTGTTGGCAAAGTGACATCCCTCTGTAGTCTATTAGAAAAGTGATATATTAGATTTTAATTGTTTTGTAACTTTCCATAAGAAATTGTTTATATGTATTACATGACTAAATTTTTAAAAAGTTATTAATTTAAGTTTAAATTTGCAGCATGCTAAGATTATATCTGATATATTTCAAGTAAGTGTTCTATACGCTTTTGGGGAATGGGGTGGGGTCGTCAAATTCTTGGTTGAGATGAATGAGTTCATGAAACCCCTACCCACAAAACCAAATCATTCAGTGTTGGACTTAAATAATACCATAAAGATCTTTTTCTCAAGTTATCTGATCTTGAGTTCTCTCCACAAGTGCCACAATATATTGTGTCGTATTCTGTTTAGGCTGCTATAACGAAGTACCATAGACTGGGTGACTTATAAACAACAGAAAATTATTTCTCATAGTTCTGGAGGCTGGAAGTTTGAGATTAGGGTGCGAGCATGGATTCTGGTAAAGGTCCTCTTTGGGGCTGCAAACTGCCAACTTCTTGTATTCTCATGGTGCAAGGAGCAAGAGAAGAGCAGCAAGCTCTCCTGGGATTCTTATAAGGGCACTAATCCAGTTCATCAGGGTTCTACCCTAAGAACCTCATCTAATTCTATTTACCTCTCAAAGATCCCTCATACTGCGAGGTACGGTTTCAACATATGCATTAGGGGAGACACAAATTTTAGTCCATTACACCCTGTAACTATACATATTGTTTCAGTTTCTAGGCTTTCCTCATAATTAATTGGGGGAAAAAAAAGAGGGACGTTGGCACAGCATTCCTGGCTAGGCAGGTAGCACATCAGACAGCTGTGTTCAAATCCTGGTCGTACCATATTTTAGATGTCTGACTTTCAAGTTATATAACATCTCTGTGTCCCAATTTTCATACTTGTAAAATGGGAAAAATAATAAATAATGTCGAATGTTGTAAGGATTAAATTGAATGAGTTAATATATGTCAAGTAATGAGAACAGTGCCTGGTGAGTTGCAAGTTATATAACTGTTTACGATTATTATTCTAATAGAGAGGGAGTGAGCGTGTTATGTTGGCTGTTTGAACATATTGTTGACGATCAAGTTAAAAAGTGCTGCATTTTAGAGCATTAAGAGCCAATGTCTATTTTTTCTGCTAAAAGACCACATTCTTCCCACAAGGTAGAAGCTTCTGGTGCTGTTGGCAGCCTTGGATCTGTGTTGTCCCCACAAAGGCTGAAGGCAGCTAATGTGAAGCCTGCTGTGGCTGCCTACAACATGCTGAGCCCATGCTCCTGTTTAGGGTTTCAGGCTGAGTCCCTCTATGGGGAGCATTTCCATTGATATGTGGGAGAGGAGTATCCTTTTCTTTTCCACTCTTCGTCAAAAGTCATCCAGACTGTTGTGATAAGACGGACAGCTCTCACTCCTGCCGGGTAGAGAATTGAGCTTATCACATTATTAGTTTGTCATCGCTTCCTGGAATCTCTTCATGGATAACAATATTTCCTATGTAAAATCTACACAGTATTTCCAAGTGATTCATTATCTGCCCACGTATCGTCACTTAGGATTAGCTTTTGATTTGCTGTATACAAAGCGTGTTATATAGCGTGTACTTTATTTTTGAAAAATACTATGTTATTGCAGTGGGAACACTTCCAAACTCTCATAAATTTCATACTTTTTACAGCAGCTGGCATTGTAGAGAGTTGCAGAATTATTTGATGACTTGTTCTTTTCAATAAGGACCAGCACGCCTAATATTTGGACCTAGTGTGCAGTTTCTTCCATTGAAGTGAGGTGTGTGGTGTGGCTTAGTGGAAAGAGCACAGGCTTTGGAGGCAAACTAATATTCGACAGTGTTGAACCACAGCCGCAACTTCAACTTACTA